TTCAGCTCTGGGACACGGAACCCGACGAAGATATCGACAACCGCTACGCTCCGGAAAGGATTTGCTATCTCCACGAACGATGGGTATTCCGTCACCACACGGTGGACCCAAGGAGCGGCGCCCGCTTCCGACCCCTCAGTCCTCCCGGTCAGAAGGCCTTGACCACGGCGTTCCACCGGACCCGACCCGCATTCTCCCAACGAGGACTCATGAGAACTCGAAGGCGTGCGGAGCAAGGGTGGGGAGGCTCATAAGTCAAAACCATCAGCATCTTGCAGCCCATACCTGCAGCGAGGCGGCAAAGATTCTCGTGACTACACGACATCCTATAGAGACATCGACAACATTGTAAACACTTATCTTCCTTCGCACTCATCAGAGTGGAAGACCTGACCAGGTAGACGTGAGCCACAAGACTAAGTAGAGTACGCGTCCTGGAGCCCTTACCCTTGTAAAGCCGGCCCCTTCGTCTATAAAAGGGGATGCGCTTCTTCCATCAAAGAGGACGGAAGAAAAAGGAGGACAAAACAATAGAACGCACTCACACACATTCAAGCAGCTACGAAGCTCTTGACCACCTTTCAATCCTTCGATCAGAGACTTGGGACCAGTCCCTCTCTCGGCAGTTTGTATCCCTTACTACAGATCGTTACGGTGCTAATAACACAAGCAGCAACAAACTGGACGTAGGGACGTTTCGCCCGAACCAGTATAAATCCTGTGTCCTTTAGCGCACCATCCGAGCCTAACGCGCATTACTATAAATTCACTTGCCGGTGCTTGTACGAAACACCGACACCGACCTTCTCCGAATCCGATTCATACCGTATTCGATACTCATTATTCGTATCCGTAACCGAGTCAATCCGTATTCGTATATGTATCCGAACGCTATCCGTGTCCGAATCCGAATCCGAACAGAAATATGAAAACAAATATAATATGAGTGATATCCGTTCGTATCCGATCCGTTTTCATCCATACTCCTACCACAGAAACACCCACACCTCCATGGGTGGCAGATCCTTGGCGGTGAAATCGAATATGTAGCTTGGGCCGAGCTCCGTCGGCGGCATACCCGCAAAGTTCAACGCTTCACATGAACTTCAATATCTTGTATTAGAGTTAGTTTAACAGAGCTTGCTCTTAGCTTCTTTGAGCGAATTCTTCAAGTTCTATCAAATGATTAAAATGTAATTAGATATTGATGAAGAGTTGACACGAATCTCTTCTGCATTTACACTACGAGCTTGAAGCTAAAAACCCCAGCTCTTCATCGTTCCCATTTTATCACCACCAGAATCATTTTTCACCAGCTCACTATCCTACTCGCCAACCAAAATAACTCCACTAAAGAATAAGAGTGAAGCTCAATATCAAAAGTAGAGCTCTACCAAATTGATCCTTATTAGGACAGTCCAACCCAGAAACTATGAGATAGTTTTCATACTTGCTAATTAATATAGGCACCACCTATGAAAACTATGCTCCCAATAAATAGTTTCTACAAATAAAATATACATCCAATCACCTACAATATCTATCAATCACATATCTTTGTATCTTGGTTTTTGTGTAGACATGGTTTTCAATATAAGAAATTATTTCCTTCTCTTTCTTGAATAATAACTATAGTGACACATCAGCGTTTTGGTTAGTTGGCACACTAATTAATAGCTATAGAAACTATCCAGTTTTTGGGTAGGGAGTGCCTTATTAGTAGCTAATTAGTGGTCTTAAAGGAGCTTTCACATTAATTTCCATGAGACGTGCTAGACAAAAAATCATCTACCTCTACTATTAAATACAATTTAAAATAATCCCTTAATTTTGCTCTATTTTAAATTTTGATCTTGTCATTTTTAAATATGTAGGAAATGATAACATCAAAATTTTAAAATCAAAATCTAGATTCATGATATCATAAAATTATATCTCCTAAGTTTTTATCTCATATGTTAAAGTACAGATTGATGGATTATTATTAGAAAGAAAAAGACCCGAGAGACCACACGCCACCCGACATGGTGGCCAGCGCGTCACACTCTCAACTGATGGAGAAAGCCGCGACCATGGCATATTTGGACAAATATGTGAGATGACAAAGATGGCGATAGCGGGGGTTATGGGACTGGGAGAGAATAGACCAAAAGAGGAAGTGAGGAAAGTGTATTTAAAGGGTGTCTTATTTTTCAAGCGGAAAAAAGAATTTTGGGGCTTTATTTATGTTTTTATTTTTTTCAATCACAATACAGATGCAAACATTAATAAGTGCGCGTACACTCATCCGTTATAGGCACCTTCAAAGAGCGGAGCTGATCGATAGATCTCGATATTAACAAAGTCACCATAGACGTTTTGCCGTTAATAGTTACGTCGCCTACCCATACGACAAATCTCAATATTGGGCCTCTTCGACAACTAGTTTTTGCAGCCGCTGTTGCTGCTGCTTCAACAACTGCCTCTTAGCAACTGCTTTTACAAGCCGCCAAACTGATCCATCGATGAAGACACTACATGTGCTTTGTTGTCACCTCGGTTAATCCACGGTTCACCGAGACGGTTGCCTTGCGACAACCACCTCTGTTAATGGATTAACCGAGGCGGACATTTTATTTATGAAGACGGTTAAAAATGTCCGCCTCGTTAAGTCGATTTACGGAGATGTCCGTCTCTATAAATAGTTGCATCAAAAAATAATTAATAACTTATTCATATGAACTTGGATGAAGACAAACTTTATATCAAAATTATAGCTTTCGATGGGACCTACAACTTTGTAGTTGAAAAGTTTTTGAATTGAAAATGTTTAGGGTCCCAAAATTTTGATAAACTTTTACATATTTTAAAATTTAAAATTATCAAACAATCATAGATGTTGACATGGTCTACATGAAAGTTGTAGTTCTCAATAGAATCTACAACTTTATAGTTGAAAAGTTTTTTATTTGAAGTCGTTTAGAGTCCTAAATATGTATTCAAAGTTTATAAGTTTTGAAATTAAAAATTTAGAATTGCTAAACAATTTTAAATATTCACATAGTTAATATCAAAGTTGTAGCGGCCGACCTAAGCTACATGTTTATTGTTGACAAGTTTTTTATTTGAAGTGAGTCTCAAATATGTGTTTTAAATTCACATATTTTTAGATTCAATTTTTTGAATTTTTCAAACAATCTCGGATGTAGATACATCATATACCAAAGTTTTAGTACTTGATAAGATTTAAAACTTTGTAGTTCAACGTTTTTTATTAGAGTTCATTTAGTAGCCAAAATATCCAATATAAGATTATGAAATATTGATATAAAACATTAACATATTATATATAGACATGAATGTGTGTGTGGTGTAGCGATAGAGACGTAGTAGTGTTGAACGCTTGGTCGTGGGTTTGACTCTCCAAAGTCACATATTTTTTGGTTTTTTGGGTTTGTTGAAGAACGTTAACGGAGGCGGGCTGCCCACCTCGGTTAATGGGATTAATGGAGGCGGACAACTTAACATGCCCACCTCTGTTAATCGATAAACCGAGGCGGGCAAAGCAACTGCCTCCGTAGGTCATCATTAACGGTGACCTTTGATTGGAGGCGGTTGCAATGCCCGCCTCGGTTAATAAAAAACGTGTGCCTCCATTAACATTTATGTAGTAGTGTAAAGAACGATAACATTAAATCCTAGAGTAAAACCACCAAAAAACAAGACTTTTAAATCCTAAAATAAATTTTAAAATACTTGCATCATGTCGAGAGTTTAGATCCAAGAAAATATGAACATTTACATCAAGTCGAGCACTAAAATCCGAATGTATGGACATATTCCACCACTAAGGACACAACCAGCTAAGTTCGGTTATGTTCTCATAAATACTCCCTCCGTACTATAAATCATAAGTCGCTTACTTATATATCTAGATATAATATATGTCTATATACATAGTAAATTATATATTAAAAAAGTCAAAGCAACTTATAATTAACGGAGAGAGTATATAACAGTATAGTTATATACACAAGTATGTAGTCATGCCATTAAACGAAGTATGTATATTTTGTATTTCAATTCAGATAAATATTATTTTCATCTTAAATTATAGGTTAGATTAGTTTTCTTAATATACAGTTTGAAAAATTAAGTATTTAGAAAAGTCAAATCGATTTAATATTTGAAGCCGAGTGACGAATATAACTATATATAGCTTACTATATGTTCAGATGGCGTGAAAAGGAAAAAACGAAAAAGCAAATCCCGTGGCTGGACGGTGAGGAGGTCTTTGCCGTGTGCCCGCACCATTTTTGAGCGGGCCCACCACACACTGTACGTCCGGTTGCTTCCAGCAGGCAGCAGCAGCGCTTCCGCGTCGCCGTCGCATGGTGCCACCGTCCAGCCAACGCTGCCGATCGCGCCACGTCACCCGCCACTAGCAGGATAAAAAAAACACCCATTGGCCGCTGTCCACCACAGGTCGCTGTCCACCACCGTAGTAAATGGAGCGGTGGGCCCCCCGGCCAGCTCCAGGGGAAAAAATATTGGCAAAAGGAGCGGGAAGCTGTAAATAAATCCGACGCGATGGGATCGAAAGTTTTCCACCCCAAATTTCTTTACTCCGGTCTCGTTCAGATAGCTGTTAGACAGTATTTGGCACTGTAGTATTTTCGTTTGTATTTAACAATTATTGTCCAATAATGGTCTAACTAGGTTCAAAAGATTCGTCTTGTAATTTACAATCAAACTGTGTAATTAGTTTTTTTTTTATCTACATTTAATACTCCATACATGTATGTTAAAGATTTAATGTGATGGAAGAAAAAGAAAAAACTGAAATCTAAACAAGGCCTCCGCTTGGAAACTAGTGCCCCCTTTAATATACAGACATCGCTGCCCCCCTTCAGCTTTATCTTCCCTTCCGCTTCCAGTCTCTCTCTCTCCTCGCCCAAGAGGCCAAAAACCCAGCCTCGGCTCCTCGCTCCCCGCAGATTCGCGTCATCAGCGCCGCGGCGATGGCGGGCGGCTTCTCCATCAGGTACGCTCGCGTGGAGCCGCCGGCGACCGCGCAGTTTCTCGGTCCCGGTCGCCTCCTCTCTCTCTCTCTCTTTTTAATTTTTATTTTCCTGATCTGCTTTCTGTGACGCTTCTGAAGGGGGTACGCGGAGAGCTTGCGGCGCACGGGGGCGGCGGAGCTCGGCCCGTTTAGTTCGGCCACCAAGGAACTGGCGCCCTTGGAGGTGCGCGCCTTCCGGTGGTGGGAGGACGAGCTCGCTTCCATCAAGGCGGCGGAGGCGGAGAAGGAAGCGGTGGCGGGGGTGGATGAGGAGGAGGAAGAGGAGGCGTCGGGGAACGGCCGGGCGCCGAAGAAGCGCTCCATCACGGACCTCTTCGCGGAGGCGCCGGCCGTGGGCGCCGGCAGCGGACCCAACGCTGTCGTGGACGAGGAGGAGGTTCTTCGCTCCATCGTCCGCCGGAGCAAGGAGCTGCGGAGGAAGCGGCGTCTGGAGCAAGTTGCGTCGGCGGCGGCGGCGGCGGCGGACGAGCCGGAGATGTCGGCGGCAGGCGAACGGCGTGCGGCCGAGGGGAATTTCCCCAGAAAGGTGCGTGGTCCAGCCCAGCCCGACCCAACCCGACCCACCCCGTGCCTGCAGCATCATGATATGGTCTTCGTCTTGTTCCAATGTTTTTATTCTCTCTTGCCTTTTTACAGCAAATTATTTTCTGCTGATCGATCTGTGCCTTGCGCGTCACCGTGGTTCAGATTTGGGTGCGCTCGTTAGCATCGGAATCGTTAGATGTTTACATTAATTCCTAGCTATCTATCTCTATCGCATCCGTGTATGATATGGCCCATATCTCGCTGTTACTCCTTCCAGTATTGAAAGTGCCTGATTTGGTTGGTATTTGAGAATGAATGCTTTAGGAGGGACCGGATTAGTCGTTGCTTTATATGACGGCGCGGTGGGATATTTTATGTATATGGATGGATTATTTTGTGCGCCGAGCTGATTGGCGAATCGAAATCTGTGGGCATTAACGCTAGCTATAGTTAGTTCATGCACACAACTCGTGAGTCTCGGTCCTTTGGTTGATGATTTGCTGGTCAAAGCGGTGGCGTGGTACGCGCACCTCTCGTTTTGCTAAGCGTTAAAAGTTTGTTGCGTGGTTGTGTTGTCTTTCCTGCTGAGCATGATTACTGCCTTGCTAAGCGCATGGCTGTTTCATGCGTGACCAGTGTTATTTCATGCTGAATTTGTCGTTTCCGAGCGATCGACACAGGTGTCACGCAGGTTCAGCACATTGATTATAACGATATCTGCAAGCCAAGAGATTTTGTTCATGGATGCATAGCAATGATTTATTAGTTTGTGTGGTGTTTTACATGTACGTTAGCGCTAAACTAGTGCTTGCTCGCGACATGCACAGCCCAGCTAGCTACCACTCTGCCTCTGGTACTATATATATAGTACACCATCTTACAAATGGTGTGTTCGCATTACCTTTCTCACACAATATATATGCACGGTAGGCTATCTCCTGCATGTGCGGTGCGTACCGCTTGGTGTCCGGCCGGCCGGCACATTTCTGCTGGGGTTGGACCCATACACACGGGACCTTTATCATAGCAAGTAGTGGACGTGATGCAGGCATTTACTAGTAGATCGAGATCTTCTGCATTATTATTCTCTCTTTGCTGTGCAAGGGACTTCATCATTGCTTGGGTGATGTTCATCACTTGTTCCGGTTCAAGGAAAAAAAAATGATAATGAATGCATGCGTGTATATAACTGGTCTGGAAATGTCTGGCCTCCAATACCAAGCATGGGAACAGTCTCTAGGTGATGATGAAGTTTTGGAATATATATGCAGCTTTCACCGTATGCATGATATGATGATCTGCTGTCCCTTTGTACTCTTTGTAGATAAACTAATGCACTACACTAGGTAATTAATTAGTTGACAACTGGATACAGTATGGTATATTATTGATTTCTCCGTGCATGCAATACAATAGTTTAATACATTGTTAATGGTGAATGTTGTTACCAGTTCATTTGCCAAAGTTTCTCTAGCAGCTATAGGAGCTATAGGATATATCTTGCTGGTGTTGATTTATTTAATACTTTTTATTCAATTTCTAAGCTTGGCTGGTAGCCTGAAATTAAGAACTAACTGAACCATCATAAATGTTTGTACAAAATTTGTGTAGCAATTAAAGTTGGGTGGGATAACAGATAAACGAAGCATAGAAAAGGAAGGTATCGTTAAGGAAAGTTCTTAATTCTATTCTTACATTCTCTTTTGTCCTTAATTAATTTTGTACCGCATGCTTAGCGCGTGAACCTAACATTGCATGACTTTCTATACTGATTTATGCTTACTTTACTCAACAAATATAGCATTGTAAATGTGTGTATTCTCGAGGTGCTTATATTTTCCTTAGTTGTATTACTGATTGATGGTTATATGCTACCCTACTAGCTAGATGATTTTGTTTGACTTGTAAAAACTGTCATTTGCACCTTAAATGGTCCATCCTCATGCCGATCTAACTACATTTATCATCATTTTCTTATTGGAGATGCCCACCTCCAATCCAACAAACCTCCATTAGTTCATCTCACTTGGCCCATCATTATACAAGTTTGTGTTGGCCCAACAAGCAACTACAAAGCACCCAACCACCTATGAGGCTATGACTACACTATTAACTTCCCAATCAACGCCGGCATATCTCATGAATGGTTAGGTAGACACGCCTGGCTTTGACGTGAACAAGCATTTTGCAAGCAAGGCCTTGGCATGACAAGAATCATCGGCACGACGTTTCTCACACAACATCATTGGCACAGAACACAACAAGAGCACGTCTCGCTGCCATTGGCATGACATGTGGTGGTTTGTGTCTTTGTGAGGTTGAAACTAAAGATGGCAGCGGGCGTGATGCCCGCGGATACTACCTTCTTATGCCCGTGCCCGCCAGCTAAATCTCTTGCCCGCGCCCGCGCCCGCGACCCGCCACGGGCAACAAACTACGCCCGCGCCCTCCATCCGCGGGCATGAAATGCCCGCGGGCATGCCCGTGTGCCCGCCAGGTTGAGCATATACATAAACCATAGTGCATTACAAGAGATATGAAGATACATATTCACAACAAATCGTGTATATATACATATATTTGCTTGTAGGTCCCACATGTTAGACCTGTGGAGCGGGTCTGGCGGATAAGTGGGCGAGGATAGCAAATTTCTTTGCCCGCGAAGAACTATCCTCTGGGTTCAGGATGGTGCCCGCGCCCGTGCCCGCGGGCAAGAAGTGGTGCCCGTATCCTTACCCATCGGGTTCCATGCCCGCGGGCATGCAGGCATTCTGTGCCCGTTGCCATCTTTAGTTGAAACCAAATTACAATTGAACTTGGTGGTTAGTTCTTAGTTCCTGAAAACTAAAATTCCACATCCGAAGAAACCAAACAGATAAAAAGGAAAAATACTAAATCCCCAATGTGTGTGGAGCTAGTATTAGTGCACCACTTGAGAGCACCACTCTAGATGTGCTTGTATTCCTCTATTTTTTATGAAGAATTGATAGAATTAAGGTGGAGGGTTGTGCAATATTGTACAATTGATGCAAGAATGTCATTGTCACCAACACATCTTGTAGTGATCACGATCACAATTTATACATATCATTGAATATAGGGAGGGGCAAACTATACAGTAGGTGGCTGAAATTAGACAGTTTTGATCAAAGATTAGATCTTTAGCCTTTGTGCAAGCATACAACAAAACTTGTGACGCTATCGTGACTCACCCCATCTTCCCATCGTAGAGGTACTCTTGTCATCAGATTCATGGACATTGTACTACCTTGCTAATCTAGTGGTGCCAAGTATCATCCCCTTTGCCCCCATCTCAATTGGCGTCATCCACTACCTCCGCCAACGCCTTGCCACATTGTGACATCGCTACCCACTGCTTGTCTATCTTTCGATCTTAGCCTCGTTGGCTGTCTCTAAGCTTGTCTAATACACATTGCCTTAAAAAACCCTACCCAAAAGGCTAAGTTCAATGTTGACCACTAAAATGGTCAGTGGTTAAAATAATTGCATATATCACTCCCTTTCTCAATAGAAAATGTGTAAGTCATACACTTTAAGTTTTAAAACTTATCTCACTTTAAGGTCCATAAACTCTTAATACGCATATTTGCCCCCCCCCCACTCCGGTGTTTCTTCACGCATGCATCATCCAATTAGCGTTGTTAAACTATTGCTAACTCACCTCATGGTTTTGGACCTCAACACATTTAAAAAGTTTAAGGACATGGATGTAGTGAGTTTAGTGACCTAGATAACACCATGGGATAAGTTCAAGGATCGCTAGTATATTGAACTTGATAACAATTATTGTTGTAAGGTGCGTCTATTTTTGTGTTGATATATTTACGGTTTCCTTAGTTATTGGAGGTCAAACCAACACATCCTTATTGAAGTGACATGCAATGGATGTATTGATAGTGAAATAGTGTTGTAAAGTATCTTTTTCGGAAGTTCTCATCTTAGCATGTACCCTATGTTCCTCTAGAACAAGACAAACACTTTCAGGCCATTATGTTTGCCAAACTCTACATGTAGTTATCCCTATTAATCACTAGAGTTGCTTACCATGTCTTCCTCTGCCTATAAATTGAACATTCTTAATATGTTGCATATTCGAAAGGTCTTGGATGAGATAATGGTATAGATGGAGAAGCAAGAAGCAACAAGTTGATACAGTTGTTCTAAGGAAAGAAGATTTTATAGCCACCCTATCCATGTTGCGATCCAAAGCCATGCTATGTCTGGTACAAAGCAAGGCATGTCTCTACAACCAGAGTTGTGTTGGCCCCAGGATCTCCGGCACGGGTGAGCTGACCGCTCATCGTCGTTGTCGACCACACACTATGGCTAGAGGTAGAAGAAGGGAGGGAGAACAGAGCACGCGCACACACAGCACAAGCGCCAGCGTTGGCCGGAGCTCTACAGAGGAGATGGCAAAACTAAACTCGGTCTCTTTACTGAGTTGCAGTGAGAAACTATAAATACAACTCTACCCATCTAATCCTAGTGCACAGACATGTCAGGATGATATGGTGCTACAGTGACTAGATGTGACAGTAGAGCTGACTTTGGCGTCTGCCCCTGCTGTGGCTACAGTGCGGCAGGGGAGCCTTTCGGCGCCTGCCCCTGCAGCGGCTACAGTGCAGCAGCAGGGGAGCCCTTTCGGCGCCTACCCCTGCCGCACGTATAGAGGAGAGCAGCAGATTACTTAACAATTCTTCCTCTAATCCTGTTGTTAACCCTAGAACTTCCGCCATGCCGATCATCTTCTTCAGCTCCGTGAACCAAAGACAGCCGAGCGGCTTGGTGAGGACGTCCACGAGTTGCCGACCAATTTCGACGAACTCGATGACAATCTGTCCTCCATCGACACAATCCCTGAGGAAGTGGAACTTGACGTCGATGTGCCTACTCCGGTCGTGGAGAACCGGATTCTTCGTGAGGGCGATGGCGGGTTAGTTGTCCACCATCAGTGCTGGTGGGTGAGCTTCCACACCGCTCAGCTCGCCCAGCAGTCAGCGTAGCCACATAGCTTGGCACGCCACTGTGGCCACCGCCATGTACTCTGCTCGCACGTGGACAGTGCCACCACCTTCTGTTTCAGCGATAGCCATGAGATTGGAGCACCCTGTGCTCCGCTCCCTTTACGGTGAAACCCGGAGGTTGCCTGACGAAGACCATCTCCGCTAGCTCGCCGTTGAGGAAGGCCGATTTTACGTCCAGGTGATGGACGCGCTAGTCCTTCGCTACTGCCAAAGCCAGCAGCAGTCGGATAGACTCCATGCGCGCTACCGGCGCAAAGACTTCCTCGAAGTCGATGCCCTCGCGCTGGACAAAGCCTCGGGCGATGAGGCGCGCCTTGTGCTTGACAATAGCGCCGCGCTCGACCCGCTTGACCTTGTACACCCACTTCAGGCCGATCGGACGGCATCCTGGAGGTGGATCGACGAGCTCCCAAGTCTCATTTTCCTCGATCGCCTTCATCTCCTCCAGCATCGCCCGTCGCCAATTTGTATCGCGCTCGGCCAGCGCGAACGTGGGTGGTTTCTTTGCACTAACGAGAAGCAGCTCTGGGTCATTGAGCATCTGACCCGCTAGGCCTGAGGACCCTATGCCGCCATCCAGCCTACAGACCGCACCTCCTCACCGTCGTGGTAGGCATCCACGAACTCTGTGATGTCGCTTGGGGGTGAGGCGAACTCGATTGGCGTCGATGGAGTCCCCTGTTCCGCCGGAGTGGTTGGCACAGCACCTGGAGTGCTCGGCACCCCGACTGCAGTGCTCGGCACTACTCTAGACCGCTCGTCACCACTCCTAGAGTGGCTGGCACCACTGCAAGACCTCTCGGCTCCGCTACGGGAGCGTTCGGCACCCGTCCACGAGTGGTTGGCACAACTGCAGAACCGCTCGGCACCACTCCTGGAGTGCTCGGCACCCCTCCTGGAGTGCTCGACACCGCCCCAGGAGTGCTCGACTCTGTTGCTGGAGTGGTCAACATCTCCTCTCTAGCGTCTCCACCACTGTGGATGACCAAGTGCTCGACGACGAAGGTGCTGATGAAGCCGCCAGCTTCCCCCGTGCCCAGACTGTCCCAGTCCTAGGCTGCCTTCTCGTCGAACACGACGTCGCGCGAGACAACCACATTGCCTCTGCGTGGGTCATAGAGCCGGTACGCCTTGTTATCTTCCTCGTAGCCCAGGAGCACCATCGGTGTGCTCCTGTCTCCAGCTTGGTGAGGACTGGCTTCGTCTTCCTGACGTGGCCGATGCAGCCGAATGTCCGGAGGAAGGACACGCTCGGCTTGCACCCATACCAAGCTTCGAACGACATCTTGCCCTTCAGGGCCTTGGTGGGCGCGCGGTTGAGGATGAACATAGCCGTGGTCACCGCCTCACCCCAGAACCTTGTCGGCATGCTCTTGGCATTTATCATGGATCGAGCCATGCTGACCACCGTCTGGTTCTGTCGCTCCACCACGCCATTCTTCTGTGGCGAGTATGGCGCGGTGTGGTGTCGTACCACACCCTGACCCGCGCAGTACGCAGCGAACTCCACCGAAGTGAATACGCCACCGCGATTAGTCCGCAGCATGCGCAGCTTCTTGCCGCTCTCCGCCTCCGCACGTGCCTTGAACTTCTTAATCGCCTCCGCCGCCTTGTCCTTGCTCGTCAGGAGTTGCAGCCATATATAGCGACTACAATCATTCACGAGCAGGACGAAATACCGCCGACCACCGTTTGTGGCTGGTGTGATTGACCCGCAGAGATTGCCGTGGACGAGCTCAAGAGCGTCCGCCGCGCGATACTTGGCTGCATTTGGGAATGGCAGGTTCCTCTGCTTCCCGGACAGGCAGCTGTCACACAGCTCGTCTACGTGCGACGTCGCCATCAGGAGAGTGGCCTCATCATCCTCATCAACCTGCGCTAAATGAGCCTCAGCCTTCTTCTCCTGCTTGCGATTTGGGCACTCCTTTGCACAATGGCCCGTCTTCTCGCAGCGCCAACAGGCGTTGGGGTCGACCTTCTTCTTCTTCTCCGAAGAAGCCTTGCCGCGGCGCTTGCCATCGCCACCACGGCTGGAGGAGGCTTCCCCGGACTTCTTCCGGGCAGCCCACTCCTCTGTCAGCAACAGCTTGCCGCTGCCCGTCGTTGCTGTGGCCTGCTCCATGCGCTCGTCCACCATCCGCAGACGGCCTATCACATCCTCAATGGTGAGGGTGGACAAGTCTAGCTTTGTCTCTATGGAGAGAGCGGTCTGGATGTATTTCACCGGCACGGAGTGGAGGTACTTGAAGACCGCCTCTTCTTCGTCGATGGTGACGCTGTGGCTCCTTAGCTTGCTGATGAGCGACAGCAGGCAGAGGGAGAAGTTCTCCACCGACTCACCATCCTTGAACTTGAGGGTGGCGTACTCCTGCTTCAGCAGCTGGGCCGTCGCCTTCTTTGCGCGGTCAGAGCCGACGCGCATCGCTGCAATGGCCTCCCACGCCTCCTTAGCAGAGTTCTTCGCCCCCAACAGCTCCTTGTACTCCGTTGGCACAGCAGCGAGGATAGCCTCCAACGCTGACATGTCGTTTTCTTCGTTGTCAGTGCCCTTGTCAATAGCATTCCAGAGCCGTCGGGCTCTGAGCTTGACCTTCATGGTCACCGCCCACTCGCCATAGTTGGTGCGAGTCAGCGTCGACCAACTGGTGCCGCCGACCTCCCGCGCCGTGCGCACGATGACCTTCTGTCGTGGCTAGGCAACCACAGCAGCGCCGCTGCTGTCACCCATCTCCAAACCGGCCGTCATCGCCAGCGGTTAGTCCGACGATGGCGCTTGTACGGCTCTGATACCACTTGTTGGCCCCGGGATCTCCGGCACAGGTGAGCCGACCGCTCATCATCGTTGCCGACCACACACTATGGCTAGAAGTAGAAGAAGGGAGGGAGAACAGAGCGCACACACACAGCACAAGCACCAGCGTTGGCTGGAGCTCTGCAGAGGAGATGGCAAAACTGAACTCGCTCTCTTTACTGAGTTGCAGTGAGAAGCTATAAATACAACTCTATCCATCTAATCCTAGTACACAGACATGCCAGGCTGCCAGGCTGCTACAGTGACTAGATGTGACAGCAGGGCTGACTTTGGCGCCTGCCCCTGCTGTGGCTACAGTGCGGTAGGGGAGCCTTTCGGCGCCTACCCTGCAGCGGCTACAGTGCAGCAACAGGGGAGCCCTTTCGGCGCCTGCGCCTGCCGTGCGTATAGAGGAGAGCAGCAGATTACTTAACAAGTTGTACTCCTTGTCTCCATTTCCCCTATCTGATCTCATACAACACATAGTTCTTTATTGACATTTGAGCCGTGCTAAAGGCCTCATGTTATTGCAGCTAAGGATGCAAGTGGGTACTTAATGATATTTTGTAGATCAGCTAGCTTACTTCATTTCTCCCCCTAAATAAACTACATGGTATTCCATTCTAGTTCATTTTAGTAAGTTTTGGGTCTACCCAATGACCCAAACATGTGGCACTTGTATCTTTTGCAGCTAACCACCAACATTGTCAGGCTAGTCAATGCGCTCTTATCACTGTGGTTAACAGTGATTGATGTGTCTATATCGAGTACTGGCAAATATTCAATACCATGTTGAGTTCTGAAATTTCTCTTGACATGTGTTAGAGAGTTCTTATAGCAAGTGTTAGACCCTTGATACACATCCATCATGCTTCCAATATCTGTATGTATTAGGTAGTGTTGGTCCACCATGATTCTTGGGTTATATTTTTCATAAAGTTGTGATGACATAAAAGATATTTATCGTATTGATGAACTCTCAATAGATAATAACGAAAAATATACCAAGTTTGTGAATGTTGCAAGTTTGTATTTTAATGGTGCTTTTGTGCTTAGTTCCAAAATCATACATTATTAAAGAAGTAAATTAGGTTGTGTTACATGTTTTAGTTTGTAGAGTATTACTCCCTCCATTTCACAATGTGTTCGATCCACCTAAATGGCAGTTATATCTGATAGTATCAAATGTGTTCTCGTTACATAGATGAACACTATAGTTATCTAGTTAGAACTTGGACAATCCAATTCTATAAAAGGGTGCTTAAATACTGTGCCTCCTAGGTATGCGGACTAGATAAACATTTGTGAAATAGAGGTAGTATTTTCAGTTAGTTTTAAATAATTGTGATCTTGAATTGATTCATCCTTCTATAATGAACCAACTTTTCCTCTTTTTTTTTTTTTTTTGAGGAAACAGGAGGGGGCACATCCCCACTGAAAATTAATGAACCAACTTTTCTGGTTCATCAGGCAATCTATAAGCATTTTCAGTTGTTATGTCTGTTCCCCATCTGTTTCATGTTTCACTTGCAATTATATGTAGCTCTTGTCAACATTCAACGTTGTTCATTCTGCAGAAATCAGTTGACAAACCAAGTTTGGGAGATGAGTTGGATACTTCTTGTCCATCAAAGGAACATGAGAATGATGATCTCGGTACAGAGAAGGAAATGATCCCAGATCTTAAGAGAAGGAAGCATGGAAGACTCAGTAATAGCTTACAGAAGAAGAAGGCTGAGAGGCTAAAGTACCTCGAGAGTCGAAAGGCTGCCAAGGTTGGAAAACAGCGAGATATTAAAAAAGTGCTCCCTTTGCACAGCATTCTGAAGAAGTACACAAAGCATACGTCTGTTAAAATGGTTAAGGAAAAACATGGGCGTTCAAAAGGCTCCGGAGTCATACAACTCTGCCGGAAATCAGTCAAGCGTGTCAAATTCTCAGAAATGGATGATGCCAAGAAGCAATGTTCCAAAAGACCACCACTGGAAAGCATCTGCGAGCTTCTCTCTGCTATTAGTTCTTCTTCTTCATCATCTCTAGAGATGTCAAGTGAAGAGGAACATGTTATCGCAGAAAGTAGTAGTTCTCGCATGCCAAGGAAAGCCTTCACTATGGCTAAGGAAGCCAATGAGAATACAAATCATGATAACCAATATGAGCTTAGCAGTACTGGACTGTCCACTTGTTTGCTTGATCTGAATCAAGCTCTTCCAGAACCTGCGGACTTGAACAATCCGTATGTTCCAAGTTCAGACGTTTCATATCTTGAGCACACAGAGGTAGGAACTTGGCATGTGGGTCAACAACTTACTGATAATGGAAGGACAAACGATAAAGAATCGTCCTTCGATCTGCATGGACAGGAACAACCACGACATGCTACTGAGTTGGACACCAGATCAAAAGGCAAGTCCCCTTGTACTCTGCCAAACCATTTCCAGGATTCAGTTCATCTGCAACAAAATTGGTGCTCCATGACTTTGCATCGTGGTGTCTCTCAGCTCTCAACTGGAGGCGAGCCTTCTTCCTTTCAATTTCTAGGATCTAATCTATCACGCAGTGAGAAACGAAATTTTCATTCAGAAATGAACGTGCAACAAGAGTCCAGTCCTCCTGCTGGACAAACCTTGCGCTTGATGGGTCATGATCTTACAGTATCCAATACTAGAGTTGACTATTTATCTGACGCAGCACAGAATCATACAAATCCTACTGCAGACCATCTTACCACAAAGGTGGTGTTGGAATTGCCACGACAAGGTCAGCCTTTCCTATCATTACAAACTCAGAGTATTGCCAGTGTTTCAGCAGGCTCTGCAAATGCTGTACCTCATGTTTCAGCAAGTTCTGCAAGCGCTGTAGCTCATGTTTTAGCAAGTTCTGCAAGCACAGCTCAGGCACATTTTGGATACAGAACACCACATAATGTCAGCCACCCTTTGCTCACTGCCAATGTGCTCTCTGGTGATCCATCAGTATATGAAGACAGGTGCAGGGACTTTACAAACTTGCAATTGCATCGAAATTCTCTGTTGGGATATCCACCTCTTTCCAATCATGGCAATGCTGCATTTCTTCAGAATTCACCACCTTGGTGTTTTTACTCTGATCATTCCACTAGGACAGATTCACCCTCAGCGCCATTTATACCAACAATGATGCAGCATGTGGCAACATCTTCAGATTACCGTGCCAATCTGCCTCATCAGTCATATGGTGTGTACTCTGCAAGCTCAACAGTTCAACCTCGTAACTCTGCAAATTTTACATGCCCAAACCAGATAGTACAAGGAGTTGACAGTAGGGCTTCTGCAAACCTTCCATCCAGAATTCTAGGAACTGGAACGACAAGAGCTGCTCCTGACAGCTCTAATACTTCATCTAGCAGCCGTTTTGTTCTGAGATCAGGCCCTGTAAAGCTCAGTGCCGGGGCGAAGCATATCCTGATACCAAATGAGAATACAGAGGACGACAATTCTGCACCAATGTACTCTTGTGTGTCCTTTGGCAGCAGTAGTGCAAATGTTTCGGCAGCTCATCAGAATAAAGAGGCAGGTTCCCGTAGGTTCTAGTCCAAAAGCTGGATTATCTTGCTCGTCCTTTTTCTGGACAGCTGCTAATCAGGAGGCTACATATTTTGAAGGTATGGCTATTCACTATTTATTCTGTTGTTTAGGATCTGTTTGGATCTACTAAGGATTATAAGAATCCAAATAGTAGGATTGAAAGAGATAGTGGATTGCTGAAATTTGGGTGGTATCTAGTTGTTATCCACGCTAGAATGAGGGATGTTTGGATCTTATTCTTATATTTGTAGCTGGTTCTTATAATCTATAGTAGATCCAAACGCACCCTTAGTTGTTGTGTTATCTGTTTACAACATTGCAGTTGCTTCACTGCAGTAACTTTCAGCAAATGGTTGGATTCATTTAGTTGTAAATATATGTTTTTTCCCTCGCTTTATACTATGAAGTGGCGTACTGATTACTGAAAATCAGACTCTACATTTGACGGCTTTGCATACCTTTTTGCAAAAAAAAATATATGAAAAAGGAATTGTGGGCCGAAGTACGTCGATCTGTAACTTTTTAAAATTATTCCTTCAATTACTTCCTCAAAAAAATATTTCTTCAATTTCCTGCTGTGTGCGATGCTGTTCTTGACGTTTTTAAATAAAAAAAAACTATAACGAAAGTTGTACCAGCTGGAGAAGCTTTAAAGTGTCTAAAAATCTCTAGGATAGGCACAATTTCTTATAAGTTGTCCACTGTGGAAAAAATATATTCTTTTTTGAGTTAAATGTATCATTGATCCGTTAACTTTTGTTCACGTTTCACTTGGGTCCATCAACTATGAAAATGGTTTTTGGGTCCATTAACTTTTGAAGTGACAGTCCATACCCCTTCGTTTCTTTTTTTAATCCGATGTGGCGGTCGATAATGGCGCTGACATGGCCTCGAAGGCAGTTGTGGCTCACGTGAGCAGTAGACGAGCGCTGGTTGATGACCTCCTGACACTGGTGGCGCTCGCCTGCACCGTCCACAGCTCCGCCACCATCAGCCGCCCCGCCGCCACCACCGCGTCTTTCCCGGGGCACTGCTTGTTCCCCTCCGCGGCCGCGCCGGTCTCCGGCCCGTTCGACCACACCACGTGCTCCAGCATCCGCCGCCGCTCGTCGTCGTCAGAACATACAGCGAACCGGTCGGGGACGAACTCGCGGCCGCGCTGGAACACGCGCTCGTCGCGCGTCGCCAGCGGCTGGTACCCGAACACCATCTCGCCCTTCTTCACCTCGTACGCCGCGTCGTGGCTCTCCACCACCGTGTCCCGCCGCGCGCGCCCGTACTGGAACTCCACCGGTGGGTTCATGCGCAGCGTCTCCCACACGAACGACTTCACCAGCGGCATCTTCTCCACGTCCGACAGGGTGATCGCCGTGCCCGACGGTGGGACGACGGTGCGGACCTCGGTGGCGAGCCTGGCGTGCAGCTCCGGCCCGCAGCGCTTGAGCACGGCATGGCGCGGATCGGCGCCGTCGAGGAACGCGAGCGGGCGGTGGCCGCCGAAGAGCGCGAGTGAGGGCATGTAGGTGCCGTCGAGCGTGCCGTCCTTGTCGACGCGGGAGTCGTCGAGGAGGACGCGGAAGCTGCGCGCGTCGAGGACGGCGACGACGCGGTAGTCGCCCGAGAGGAGCGGGCCCGGCGGCATGTTGACGCGCAACACGGTGGCACCGCCGTGCTTGGCGATGCGAGAGTGGAAGTACTCCTCCGCGCCCAGGAAGTAGAAGTAGTCCAGGCGGTCGCGCAGCGGCGACAATGTACGTGCCCTTCTTCTCGCCGCTGCAAATACAGGATCTCGGGCTCTAGGCCGTGCCTGCGGTGGTTGCCAAATGCCAAAGCGATGCGGCGGCGCAGCGAGGCAAAACCGCAAAAGCACGGCCAGTGGCAAAAGCATCGCGGCATCAGCAGCCATGGCAGAGACGGCAGCGCTAGGCCATGGACGGGACGGATCGGTGGCGACTGGCGAGGCTGCGGCGGGTCTCAGCGTAACGGCGACGGCGAGATGCAGGCAGGCCACGCCGACGCCACGAGCACCGCGAGCGCGGCAGCTGGCGGCATGCTAGGCCGCTACGGCATGGCGACCATGGCGTGTGGTCCCAGTCACGTGAGCGGCAGCTGCGCGATGGGACAAGGCACAGTGAGCGTCGCGAGGCGGCAGGTTAGGCAGCTACGACTAGCGGCGTAGGTGGCTCACGTGGCGTGGTGGAACTCGTCTGCCCAGCGTGCCCGCCATGGCGATGCCGCGACAATTGCCAGTGCGGCCGCCAGGCGATGCGCGGCGCAGCGAGGCAAAAGCACCCGCGGCGCACGAGCAGAGCTGGCACTGGCAATTGTCGGGAGGAGCGCGAGGACAGCGCTGGCTGTTTATAGCAGGGACAGGGACCAGCAAGGGGAGGCAGCAGGGGACGGCCAGACGTAGGAGCAGCAGCCAGTCGCCCGCCGTTGCTGGCTTCGTCTGCTGTTGCTGCTGCGGCTTGGTTGGCCGGCGGAGCTCGTGGCGGCGAGAAGAAGGGCACGTACATTGTCGCCGCTGCGCGACCGCCTGGACTACTTCTACTTCCTGGGCGCGGAGGAGTACTTCCGCTCTCGCATCGCCAAGCACGGCGGTGCCACCGTGTTGCGCGTCAACATGCCGCCTGGCCCACTCCTCTCGGGCGACTCCCGCGTCGTCGCCGTCCTCGACGCGCGCAGCTTCCGCGTCCTCCTCGACGACTCCCGCGTCGACAAGGACGGCACGCTCGACGGCACCTACATACCCTCACTCGCGCTCTTCGGCGGCCACCGCCCGCTCGCGTTCCTCGACGGCACCGACCCGCGCCACGCCGCGCTCAAGCGCTGCGGGCCGGAGCTGCACGCCAGGCTCGCCACCGAGGTCCGCGCCGTCGTCCCACCGCCGGGCACGACGATCACCCTGTCGGACGTGGAGAAGATGCCGCTGGTGAAGTCGTTCGTGTGGGAGACGCTGCGCATGAACCCACCGGTGGAGTTCCAGTACGGGCGCGCGCGGCGGGACACGGTGGTGGAGAGCCACGACGCGGCGTACGAGGTGAAGAAGAGCGAGATGGTGTTCGGGTACCGGCCGCTGGCGACGCGCGACGAGCGCGTGTTCCAGCAAGGCCGCGAGTTCGTCCCCGACCGGTTCGCCGTATGTTCTGACGACGACGAGCGGCGGCGGATGCTGGAGCACGTGGTGTGGTCGAACGGGCCGGAGACCGGCGCGGCTGCGGAGGGGAACAAGCAGTGCCCCAGGAAAGACGCGTGGTGGCGGTGGGGCGGCTGATGGTGGCGGAGCTGTTGCCGCACGCCACCGCCGGGAGCCAGCGTGGCAGCCTGCCGTGGACGGTGCAGGCGAGCGCCACCAGTGCCAGGAGGTCATCAACCAGCCCTCGTCTACTGCTCACGTGAGCCACAACTGCCTCCAAGGCCATGTCAGCGCCAGTATGGACCGCCACGTCGGATTAAAAAGAGAAACAAAGAGCATGAACTAGAGATACATCACTTTAAAAGTTTATGGATCCAAAAAACCACTTTCACAGTTGATAGACCCAAACAAATCATGGATAAAAGTTAAAGGATCAATGATGCATTTAACTCTTCTTTTTTTTTTGTTGACCAAAGTGCAAAAGAATGCTACTACTTGATACTAAAGCAAGGCCATCTTCCATCTGTATATACACGCATATATACCTAATTTCAAATTTTGTCGCTCATGTACAAGGCCCAATCTCTTCGGCCCAGTATCCTTTTTTTTTTTTATTGCACCCAGTATCCATCTTTGACTGTGACCACAAATGGTAGGTACTCCTAGTCTCTAGTCAGAGTTGTTGCCCCTCCCACGGTCACGGGCGTGACCAATCGTTGGAATCTGTCGGTAGCTGGCTTGCTGCAGCATCGGCATCCGTACCTCTGCTGTTGGCTGCACGTTTCAGCGTCAGCTTTGCTTCTGCTCGCACATCTGAGAGAGAGAAGAAAGAAGAGAGAGAGAGAGTGAGAGGGACTCTGCATCCCTCTGTATCTGCTTTCGTAGGCCGCGTTTAGATGCTAAAAAAAATTTAGCCCTAGTTACTCCAGAATCTAAATTTTGGCTCTATGCAAAAAGAAGATTCCTCGTCATATCAAACTTGCGGTACATGCATGTAGTATTAAATGTTGATGAAATAAAAAACTAATTGCACAGTTTGGTTGTACTTTACGAGACGAACGTTTTGAACCTAATTAGTCAACGATCGGACAATTATTACCAAATACAAACAAAACGCTACAGTGTGCTACAGTACCTTAAATTTTTGGCGGCGCCAGCTTTGAGGGCAAACTAAACGCGCCCTTAGGTTTTGGGTACTGTAGCTCGTTTGTTTGTATTTGATAATTAGTGTCTAATTATGGACTAATTAGGTTCGAAAGTTTCGTCTCGTGATTTCTCATTTAACTGTGCAATTAGTTTTTTTTTGTCTACATTTAGTACTCCATGCATGTGCCGCAAGATTCGATGTGATGGATACTACGCAAAAATTTTTGGAATCTAAACAGGCCCTAATAATACCGAGGGCCTGTTTGGTTCTTTCCCCTCCTCCTAAAATTCCTGTCACATCGAATGTTTAGACACATGCACAGAGTATTAAATATAGACTAATTATGAAACTAATTGCACAACTTGCGACTAATTTACGAGACGAATCTTTTAAGCCTAATTAGTCCATGATTTGACAACGTGGTGCTACAGTAACATGTGCTAATGATAGATTAATTAGGCTTAAAAATTCATCTCGGAAATTAGCCTCCATCTATGTAATTGGTTTTATAATTAATTTATATTTAATGCTCCTTATTAGTCTCTAAACATTTGATGTGACATAAATTTTAGGAGCGACTAAAGAACCAAACACCCCCTGATGCCAAGATATTCGATTTCATATCGTGGTTCAGTGCTATGCAAATAATACTGAGGCCGCGTTTAGTTGCGCCCGAAATTGGCGCCGCCGGATTTCCAGCGACATTGTAGCGCACCGTAGCATTTTCGTTTGTATTGGGTAATAATTGTCCAATCGTTGACTAATTAGGCTCAAAACGTTCGTCTCGCAAAGTACAACCAAACTGTGTAATTAGTTTTTGATTTCGTCAACATTTAGTACTCCATGCATGTACCATAAGTTTGATGTGACGGGGAATCTTCTTTTTGCATAGTGCCAAAGTTGAGAGTTGGGGTGAACTAAACATGGCCTGATGCCAAGATTTGGCCATGAACCAAACCACTGTAATTCTGTAAATCGTTGACAAGCCTAAAAGAAGTCAGTTTTATCAAAATTTCTTTCTCCTTTGCTTTCATGTCAAGCCTAAAAATTATATTTTATTTTAGGTTCTTCCATAATCAGTGTGCTTTATGCAGACTGGCTAACATCTTTTCCTGATCACTGTCTTATGAAGAAATTGAAGCTGATGAAGGAATTGAAGCTAATGGCCTAGGCAATTGATGACGGATTGACGATGGTGATGTGAAGATACAATGCGCAGTTCGGAGGATACCTGAGCCCGTCTTAATGGAGGATACTTGGTTTTGTTTTGTGGCCTGGGAGACTTGACAGATCCTTTTTAGTTCTGCAGTTTAAAATAATTATTTTTTTTTAAAAAAAAAGACTAGTGCGCTCAGGTTGTGCAGCATGTGAACTTGTAGGGCACACCCGGAGTGTCTATCTAAGCTAACGGTAACGAGGTAGAATGTTAATGCGACTCGAAAGCTGGTTGGTTGTACAGCTTGTTGTGCAATTGAGTTTCTCATTCCATTTGAGCCAGCTAGAGCATGTTCAGCAGTCTTCCAATAATCTATCCCCATTATATAGGTATTGGGTAGATTAATAATATTTTTGTGTATATTGAGAGAGTTGCTACAACAACTCCTTAATATATCTCCCTCAATGTCCATATAAAAGATGAGGCCTACAGGTGTACAGGGGAAAAGATGGTTGAAGAGATGATTTGGGTGGGGCCCATGCTATTCAGAGAGGTATAACTCTCTCTCTCTCTATTTGATGGGAGATGAGGAAATTTCGATGGAGAGTTATTGGGATCTAATAGTTTGCCAAAATATGATAGTTTTATGGGGATAGATTGAGGTATTGGGGAGAGTGCTAAAGAAGCTTTGGCCCAATCAAACTTGTCAAGTGAAAAAAACTACTAAGGTGTTGTTTGGGGCTACTTCACCAACTCTATTCCACAACTCCATTGTGGAACATCTATAAAAAAAACTAGAGTTCCTAGTGTACCTCGTTAGGTGCTTCACAAGCTCCACCTTTTTTCTAGAGCGGAACAGGTGGAGTTGTTTTTGTTTGGCTAGTGAAGCTAAGAGCGGAGTTGAAAAAGGTGGAGCAGAACAGTCCCAAACAGACCCTAAAGTGTGGCTAGGGAACTCCCACCTCTAATATAGACCAGTTGACGCTAAGTCCAATGACACACCAGTAAGGGCAAGATACATGTAGCGGAGGTAGGTCTAAATAGCGAGGCCAATTAGGGGATCGGTGAGGCTGATTTGACACAAGTTCTTTGCCCAAAACAAACATGAACATTTCTCGTGAAGACCCATCAAAGAGAAGCACGATAGAGTTATCCTAGAATCGACAAGGCCACCTAGAATACCAGCAAATCTCGTTGAGAGACATGCTGAACAACAAAGGGGTTGAAAGAGCTTAAAGGTTGAATAAAAGATAAAAAAAAATAAGGTAGGTATGTTTTTTATCAAATGGATAGATCCTCTCATATAAATGGAGTGAATAGTCTTATCTCAGTAGGAAACCTATTTCACACCAATTTACAAGTTTCCCGCAAGATCATTGGAGTTTTCAATAAGAAAACATTAAAACTCTCTCGGATTGCCAAAACAGCCGTGGGCCAATTTTTAATGGCCTCTGCAAATCCTCTGACGAAATCAGCCTAGGTGGGTCTTTACTGTTGGTGCAAGGACTGTGCCGGTTTTCTATTAAATTTACAGATTTGACTCAAATTTGATCTGTTTTGGATGTATTTGATTTTCTAGTCCATCTTTGAATCCCCCAATCATATTGTGATGTCAACATATGCCTTCCATGTTTTTCAGCGAAGCATATGCGAGTTCAAAAACGTGTTCATTGGCTATTTTAGAACCATGGCGATATATAGCTAGTCTGTTTTTTTTCTAAGGATGATACATGTATTAGGCATTCTATTCTAAAAAGGCGTATGTGTGTACCGGTCTCCATTCAAGCGGCTTTAGGCTTCTTGCTTGATTTTCTTACAACAAGCGTGTTGGAGCTTGCGTTGTTTTGTCTTGATAAAATCCGAAGATTTAATTAAATAACTCCAAATAGTATATCAGTACATAGATAACAATTTATTCTTTTTAATTTTTTATTGGTTTCATATTTTATGATTTATAATAAATGAGTTATCATTTTTGAGATAATAAAGCGGATTTTATTGTTTTTACAAAATAGAAACCCACCTTTAAAACTAGGTACCGGACAAAATTTATCTTCCTTCAATAGTTAAGGGTGTCCGATAACTGGTTTAGTTCAGGGTTAAAAATCAAACTGATATGCAATTTTTTTTTTTGAAAACCAATATGCAAGTTGGAGGTTAAAAAACAGACACTGCCCTTAAAATTTATCTTCGCGGCAGGAGCATCAATAGGCAATAGCAGAGCATGAGCATGACCCTGCAGACGGTGAATTTCCTAACCATATCACGATTATATATATACAGATCACTGAAGGTTGAACTGATCCATACCTAAGGGTGCTTGTGTTGTGAAATGAGGTAGTCTACCATTATCTTGCTTTTTAGTTTTTTTTATGGAATGAAATGAATTTGATCCATCGTCACCTCGTTTCTCACAAGATAATAATTAGTGCTAGTTTATAAAAAATAAGTCTTTCTATTAAATTTGAGAAATAAACTCATCATATATCGTCTCATCTGTTTCCCAAACCAAAGACTGTAAATTTCTGCGACCAAATCGCTTATCTTCACGCCAATCAACGGGCCCGCGACCGACGAGACGACGACAGTAGTCCGCCACGGGAGAAGAGAGAGGCGCCCTGTCCTCCGACGCATCGACAGGGCGTAGACACGGGTAGCTGTTGCACAGTCGTCACGTACGCTTGCCCACAGAACGGGCACCAGGTCGATCACGCCGCTGCCGTGGCCATATATCTCCGGCGCCTGCTGGTACACGCCCATGTCACCGCCGGATCCCTCAAGATTTCCTTCCCGGATGGCCGGCCGGCCGGCCGGGGCCGCGCATGCATGCATCCA